GGAGTGAAGTTGTCACTTTAGTCTCGGAAGTACGAAAAATCATTTTGATATTTCTGAGTTATAGTGTATGTGTGGAGTATCGTAACTGAAAACCTTGCAAAAGTAAGACAAAAACCTCGAAGGCGTTTCAACAGCAAAGGCTGTGATCATCAGCGAACAATTCTAGTTGTTAGCTGATGATGATAGTGCGTAGATTGGGTTAAATTTCAAATTTAAGTTAGTTATGTGCCTCAAACAAAAGAAATGTACTTAGTTTTAATTGTAATTATTCAATCTTTTTGATGAATTTTAACTAATTTTTTCTACTGTGCAGAGGTAACTGCCGAAGTTATAAAATTACTTAGCCGAACCTTTATTCCAAGAGCTACCATAACAAGGGCTTTTGATACATTCTGAATTGAAGGAGGTCAAGCTAATTAACAATGGATTTGATGTACTTCGGGATATTTCACACTTTTTTTGAAAGTGGAAAAGTATCAGGAGTTTTAAAAGCATTGTCAAGATATGTAGGATTTTTTGGCACTTTGCTTTTTTTGATGAATCAATCAATAAATTTCCCTTTGTGCTTCAATAAACGTGATATTTTCATTCCACCTTTCCGGCCCTTTCCAACAGTAATCTTGGTCACGAGTAAGTGCGACTTGGTATTTTACAACATAGGGAATTGTTGGGTGGGAGGTTCGTATTACTACACTAGTATTGTGAGTTCATGTTTGGTGTTGGGATGGTATATCATGACCATTTCCTCCCTAATTCCTCAGTGATATTACAAAATTTCAAGTCGAAACTTTCTAAAAGACCTGATACAATTCCATTTAAAGTGCGAGGTATTCAACTCGAGTCTGTTTCTAGGTCGATTAAATTACAATGGCCGATTTCCTTCGGACGTTTTTCTTATGATTTAACTGACACAAAAATGAATTTTATATTTCTCAATCTCTTAAAGGAAAACGGTGCTGATTTAAGAACAAAATAAAATGATGTGATACCTTATTTACTGTAATTAACGGTAGCAAAAGCCCTGGAGCGTTCAACGCGAGTATGAAAGATTCTGCTGGTATGATTCCAACAGGTTTACGAGAAGAAAAATAGATGAAAAATCCTGGATCTCGGCAATGAATGCGGCTCAGTCTTTTCGAAATTACACGAGATGGCACAAAATTACGCAATCCGCCGGTAAACAACACGTCATTTAAAAGTGTGATCTGCGTAAAAGTGATGGAAACCAACTGAATGCAGTCTGTTATTAATTCACTTTCCGAATTTTAGGACGAATTAAAGAAAATATGTTCACGCGCTCTCGATACTGTTTGGGGAGAACTTTTCCATCCAACAATAATGTTTTAATTTTGGACGGTCAGGTGACAACAATCAAAAACAATCTCTACCGATTCAATATAGAATTTCACAATAAGAAATCAAACAAAAAAGGTTATTTTATTGCCGATTGAAATGCCTGATTTACATAGATGTAAATTTTTCTTGTTGTAATAGAGTTCTTTTATCTAGTTCTTTGTTTTTGCTGTTAGAGGTCGTTCGAGGGTTAGAAGTTTCTTTTACGATACTCCTTTGTCTTGCTACAGTTCGAGTTTTTTATCTTTCTACACTTAATTCTATCCCTTCTTTTTCGCATTGTTTACGTGCAAATTTTTCTTTTGGTAGGCCATTATTTTTCTGATTTTGCGTCTACTTGATAAAGAGATTATTGTTTTGCCTTTACCATATTATCTTTGGAGTTGTCTCTTTCTTTCTTTTGATGTCTGTGGTGTGCTCCATTGAATCGTTTTTACGGATCTGCATTTGCATTTAAAGAATACGAGGTATGTTACATGCTTCCGCAGCATTTTTTCTTAATACGTTAATACGCTTTAACCTTCCCTCGAAATTTTCCCCTGCGTTTTACTTACGACCTACGCAGCACGTGGATGTGGTTTTTCCTTGGACCCGCCATTTTAGCGAGATTGACAGTGACTAACAGCGCCAGAGATGTGTTTCTACATTACCGGCTGGGAAAATTCTACTTCAATTTTGAATTCCGCACGAAGTTTGTTGACCTGCACTTCGTTAATTGTTCCTGAATTGTAGTCTCAAGTATTAACGAACGGTTTGTAGAACATTACTCGCGTAAATGACTTCGACATCTCAGATTTTACTTACACTGCCTGTATCGTTGCCGAAGAATATATTTATCGAGACTGGATTTGAGCTACATTCCCTACGATTTCTTTTGTGACTCCGAGAATTTTTTGTATTAGTTTAACTACGTTTCGTATTATTTTCCTTGACTAACATTTGTATACATACTGGTTTTCGATACAATCGAATTGTAATTATTACATTTTATCCGCAGGCCGGTTGGAACAGGGCAAATGCGGGCGTGTGGTAGTATCGTAGATTAATCAGTCTGATAAATTAACCTACGATACTACTACACTACACACTTAACGATTAAAACGGTAAAATGTTTGTAAACGATCTTTTCACCCAGACACTTCGTTTAATATGCTTTTTTCCACGTATTTTAGGGCGCTTTTTCACTATAAGTCAACCAATTACAGCCAAAGGGGCCAAAAGACAGATATATAAAAAAACACTCATTGGCACCTTTGAGCTCTACAAGACGCCATTGAATTTTTCAAGAGATTTGTTCGATAGGTATCCTCGGTCGATTAGGGCGTTGTGCGCGGGTGCACCATCGTGTTGAAACCAACAGTTTCCAACTTTTGTTTTTTTTTGTGTGTTGCATTCGTAAGAAAAATTAGTCCTCAACACAGTGTGTACTTTTTGATGGGCCATATAAAAAAATAAATTTGATGAAAAAATAAAAACCTAATCGGAAAATTTCGGTTTTTCTGGAATATCTTCGGAAGTTAATCTGAAGTTCCTGGTTTTCTTCTTTAAAGCATGATAATAACTATTTAATTGCGCAATTATAGACATTATTATAAGACATCCTTATATTGGACATAACGTATATTTCTATGTGCAATGGCACACGGTCAGTAACAGCACTTCACCAGCTACCTCAATTAAGGTCAGGTGATAACAATTAACACCCGATGTAATTCTGGATTCGAAATGGAAAATAATTTAACATGAAAGCTCTTATGTAGGTCGTATTTTGGGCTCGATTACACACAAAACTATCCATTTCAGATTAAGCAAATTTATTCGACATAAAACTATCAAATCAGCTGAAAGATGACCAGATAGCACATGTACCACGAAAACAAGCGATCGACCGACAACCAATTAAAGCGAATATTAATTACCTTAAAGTGTCAATCATTCAAGATCTCCGGTCGTAACTGCGATTTTGAAGATGCTTCGTAACGTCGGTTCTTCTATTGCACTTAAACTTTGATTTAAACGGCACTGACTTCGTGGTAATTATAATTATAATGTTGGCCCTTTGGTAGTGGACAAACTCCCTTTAACCGATAACATGAACACTTTCTTTTACGCTCGATAACTACTAAAATACTACTTGTAGCGTTTTATTACAAAATACAGGAAAAGGAACTATTAGCGTTTTGAAATATATACAGAATGCCAATTATTAATTATTAAATTTATTATCACCTAGACAACCACCTATCTTGTTTTTCTAGGATCTATCGATTTTCGTTAATGGTCGCCACATACTAAATACTACTAAAATGGAGCCATCACCAAACAAACGCTTCGCATGCGCTTATTTGAAACCGTTTCCCTTTCCATATACTTCCTTCTTCTTTTCTTAACAAAATAAAGCGCGTCGTCAAAAGATCAACGTGCACCTGTGTTTTCTAAACGGCGATAACACGTCCTTAGTTTGACATTTAATTAGCATACCGATAAGAAGTTACCGATAAGAAAACTTCTTATCTACGACCGGAGAAAAATATGAGATCAACTTTCACAAAAGTGTGAAACAAACCTAATAACTCTGATTTAAAACAGAGTCAGTAGACGTGGATGGGATGTTTAAACAATTAGAAGTAGGTACGAAAATATTGTCATGAAGGGAAATAAAAATACCTAACTATTATTCACATTCGTGTAGGATATTGTCAGTTCTACATTCATTTCGGTGCATGCAGTAATGTTTTCAAGCCGACCACGGGTTGTATAATTTATAGGAAATAAACTTAATACTGGAAAATTTACGTCTGTTTGCCTATCGAAGTCAATTCTGGTATGGTTCAGTAACATTTTTATTACGTTTGAACTAATTTGGTTTCTGAGCCTATAGAGACTTTGTGACATTTATGATTCTATTGCTACTCCATGTGTTTATTTCAATCTAACTTGATGGATTCAATGCAGGTAGGTAAATAGGCTTATTAGGGAATTTGAGCGAAGCCTCTAGGTATTAAGAATTAAATAAAAGTAATCTGATTTGCGGCATAAAAGTGTAAAAGTGCAAAGACACGTTTATGACGTAAATAATACAAGCTTTGTAAAAGAAAAGTTCCATGTATTACGTATATTGGTGTCCATGAATAATATACGCGGTAAGCTACACCAAAGTTAATGCACTTTGACCATTTCAACATGGACACTCACAAGTTCCACTCCAGAGTAAATTTACTGATTAAATTATCAGGAAAACGAAATTGTGAAAATACTCTTGGAACCTAAGAGTTCCGGGATACATTGGGAATTGTACTTCCTACTAGCAGCTACAATATTTCACGACAAAAATGTGTTGTTAAGAGAGACGTGCTTACTGCTATAGAAATGTCGATTGTTTATACTGACTAATATAATAATTCATCAAAACATTCTAAGGTAAACCCTTAGGAAAACAATGTTTAATTACGCATCGGCAACAATTAAAATCAAAGCGCTCCAAGCCGAGCATGTAGGTTCACCACAATGCGTTATATAATATTACCCATAGCGAACGAGACTCCCTTGGGAAATAACATCAGCATTCAAATTATAATAACCCCGCGGTTCGAATCGATAAATGTTGATACTATTATTTGTTTGCGCTATAGCACAGCAAAACTTACCGGTTCTGACGAGCTTAAAAGTCACCGCATTATGCGCCTTGAGGGCCTCGTTATACGACGGATGTGTCAGATCCCTTAGCGGTGAATCTACGCCCGCCATTTTCGCAGCCGTCCTTCTGCCTCTTAAACTTCCAAAGAAATTCTTCTTTACGGGTGATAACTTTTCTGAAACAAGCGCGTAATTAGTGAATGAAATTTAGAAACGCCCGAGGTATTTCAGTTTCGTCGTGTTAGTGGCGCAGGGTATGCAACGGGAATCCACCTCTTCGACCTATCGGTTTAATTTAAGCCCTGATCACTTGAATCGCTGTATAAAGGAGAAGCTCAACCGTAGACTTCCCCATTCAGTTTTTAATTTAAAATAATCCGAATCGCTCTTTTCTTTGTTATCGATGCCTTTTTACCGCATTGAGTACTTTTACCGCTCTGAGAGAGAAACGTGATCAAGCTTAATTTCGATCGGATTGACCAATGGGAACTCATTGATTAAAAGAGCAGGGAATAAAAATAGGTGCGAGATAATAGGTTTGTGAATACTAAAGCTATTGCCAAGTTTATTAGAGATCTCATTTGAAGATGGATTACTGCCAAAATTACGTTTAATTAACGTCCACACAAATGCTAAAATTAAAATGATATTGCTAAAAAATTTTTATAACACCATTTTATAAATTAAGCCAGTGGGATGTCCTAAAAATATTCGTACATAAGCTGTTTTATAATGAATCCCGAGTTCGACGAGGTAGATGAATTCGTTTTCGTGATTTTTAAAAATATCTCAACGTATCAGACAAAATAAGTCACCGTTGTCTGCGATTTGTATCATTTCTCTATAATCAGTGTCAATGAAATAATTTTGCTTTTATTATTGAATTTGGATGGTGTTTCCCCACTGTGCGAATGTTGCCAAAAAATTTTAAAGCACGGGTATCCATGTCTATCAAGGTCTTGTTTGGGGTACACGTTTGTTTAATGGGGCGTTTCCGTCATTCACCGTGAATAACGTCAGAATCGCCCACAAAAACGCGCAAGCATGTCAAAAGTCATTGGTTCGCACTATTTCGAGTTGCGATGTATGACACTATTCGATTATTTTTGAACAGACTTTGATTTAGTTTTCTTTATATATGGTACTTTCTCTAGTAATGTGCGTAAATACTAAATATCGGAAAATCGTAATAGTAGTGGTTTTTGTATTTCATGGAGTACCTAAATCAACATGTTTTGTCTTCCAGTTAAGGGACCATAAGTCTCACTTACACTAATAACAGTGCCTTTTTGGTTTGCCAACATCTACAGTAGGTGTACGTTTGTCATTAAATACATAGGAAGCATAATATACTAATATTCATTAACTGGTTTTTTGAGGCTTTTGTAATTTTTGGGACTCAAAGGAGCTTTTTGGGCTATATAAATATTTACATACATTACATCTCCTACTCAAGCCGGGACGAATAACACATGTTTTCCAGTTGATTTTGCTGTAGCCCGGCCAACGTCAATAAAAAACAATAAGCAGCAGCACCAGAAAGTGAAAATCTGTTATTTGCGCTGATCTGTGGCCACGTGTTGTGTGCCTATATTAAAGGAAATACTTAAGAAAAGTCAAATTTGGGACCCTTGTGGGCGTAATTCCCAAACGAACATTTTGCACATTTGACTTTTGGAAACCTGTTTGCTTTGGTTCGCTCCACTACCCGGTCGACCCCGAGGAGGAAAAACGCCAAAGGCTGTTGTGGGTCCGGGGATCGAAACCGGCACCTTCGTGTTTCTGAGCTAGTGTACATTTCACTTCTTTACTTCAGCTTTTAGAATCTAAGTGAACGAATCCAAAAAAAGGAAAATATAAAAAATCCAAAGCATCGGAAAAATCTGCAGAAACTGAAGGATTGGAAAAATCCAAATAATGATTATAATAAGCTGACGAATCTAAGGAATCGGAAAAGGAAAGTTTTATGAAATCTTATCAACTCAATGGATCTGAATAATGTAGCAAATGTCAAGTCGGTAGAATTGAAAAAATGAAGAAATACGAAGAGTATCGGATTGATATGGCATAAAGATTTAAAGGAATAGGCAGAATGCGAAGAAAAGAAGAATGTGGGTCTCAAAAATGTCAAACATTCGCAAGGCCCAACTTGAATAAATATTGTAAGAATCTGAAGAATCTAAAGAATTCAAAGGAGTTAGTGAAACCGGAATATCCATCTAAAACTGCAGAATGAGACGGATTCGATGAATTAAAAGATTCTGAATAATTTGAACTATGTGAGATCTGATGAACCTGAAAAAAAACTTTGGGACTGTTGTGACCGAAGTGACCCAGGCGGTTACCTATGTAGAAAATAATCAATCTTCGAATTTAACAGAAATCGAAAATCTTGAAGATTGAGTTGTGTAATGAACGCGCTCAAGATGAGGAGATGGCTATGTTTTGATTATTTCGAAAGGGTAGTACACGGAGTACTCCCTTTTACAGTTCGAACACAGAGTTGGCCCACAAAACAGCAGGAAACGCGCATAATTTACACGCGGAATTTGGTTTCGACCGGAAAACTTCCTTCTTAACAATGAGACTTAATTTCCAAACTAAAAAAATCCCTTAACATTTTTAATGGTAGCTATAAATTTGGATTTATTTTTTCGAAGTTCAAAGGATAGAGCAGATTAGTAATTGCGTATAGAAAATTTGCTGGGCTCCGAAACTTAGAAGGCCGATTTTACAATAAATGATTTAACTACTGGAAGTGTAAGAATAAATCTGTAAGCATGTGGTGGAAAGGAAGATTGTCCTTTTTGCATCTTTTAATTTTGTTAGTGTTTTCTTAATGAATTCCAGGTGCGCGGAAACGAGATGTCGGGGGTTTTGATCATATTCAATTACCTGCGAATTCGGCATGATGTCATTTCAGCATCATGGAAACAGCAACGTAGCATAATGTTCGTCGTGTTAAGAAATAATTTATTGTCCAAACCCTAGTTTAGTTGAAGCAAACGGTTAAGGATGTTCGATTTTCTTAACAAGAAGCCATTTTGTAAGACGTTTGATAATGAGCAAGAAATTAAGAGTGGATAGGTCATTCTGGGTTTTTTTTATTCCTTCGGTACTGAGCTGCGGAGGCATTCGCCGTAGATCCAAATAAAACAATTTAATTTGTACAAATAGAAATGTCAAATGAACAATACCTTTCTTAAAACAATGTTTCCTGAAACGATTCGCTTTCGGCACATTCAAAATTAACTCGGTTTCCTCTGTGAAATAGATACTTCTTAGATTACGCTACATAAAACAAAAACACCAATAAACCACAATAATACATTAACATCCCGAGGTTTTAATATATTACTGTAGTTTATTGGTGTTTTTGTTTCACTTTTGCAATTTCAACAGCGACAAGTAGTGCGTCCAGTTAGATTACCCTAGATTACCTAGTCTAGGGTCAGTCTTTCGGACGGACAGTATGGCTTTAGGAAAGGAAAAGGGACCCGAGAGGCGCTCAGCCAAATACATAAAATAGCAGAAACGGCAATGCGAGGCACATGACGTACTAGGGAGGTGATAATAATCACCTCCTTAGATGTTCAAAATGCTTTTAATTCTAGAAGAAGAACTAGAAAGAAAAGGCGCACCGTGGTATATAAGGACGGTAGTGCACAGCTACTTAAGCAACAGGAGGAAACTGGTTAAACTGCCCTCCGGGAATGGGTACCAGTTTGAGGTGAACGGAGGGGTGCCACAAGGGTTGGTGCTGGGCCCACTCCTGTGGAATATTGCCTATGATGGCGTCATCCGACTCGGAGTACCGACAAGAGTGGCTATGGTGGCGTACGCCGACGACCTGAGTGTGGTGGTGACAGACCACAAGATCGAGCGAGCGGCAGAAAATGCGCAGAGCTCTATAAATAAGGTGCAAATGTGGATGGAGCAGAGAGGGCTCAGAGTGGTGGGCAGTAAAACTCAAGCGGCCCTGATAGCCGGAAGGAGAAGACTTCCGGAGGTGGCACTGACGGTATAGCGAACAAGGATAGTGGTGGGCAAAGAAATAGACATATTGGGGCTAAAGATAGATAAGACCCTGCGCTACATGCAACACGTCGAAAAAGTCACGGAAAAAGCAAGAAGAATGGCTGAACAACTAAGCCGGTTGATGGCGAATACGGGGGGACTGAATGAGTGGAAGAGAAGGGTGCTAGCCCCGGCGGTCGATAACGTGATACTATATGGATGCGAGGTGTGGGGAAGAGTAATGAAAACAAAAAAGGCCAAGGGCATGGTGGATAAACTCCAGAGGAAAATGGCCTTAAGGATAGATTCGGCGTATAGGATAGTATCCAATAAGGATATATTTGTAGTGGCCCGCGCACCTCCGCTGAGGCTAAGGGTCTGGGCGAGGCATGAAGGGAAGAATAATAAAGACGTACTAAATGCATGGGAAGAAGAGAGGGAGGAACGAGAGTCGTGGACGAAGGGACTGATAGACAATTTAAAAAGGCGGGGAAGGAAGAAAGCATGGGGAAGTTAACTATTTCCTCACACAGTTTCTGACCGGGCATGGGGAGAATGGGGTTTACCTGAAATAGATAAGAAAAAGAGAGAGGGATACCTGCGTAGATTGTGGTGAGCTATGGACGATGCAGGACACGGAGTGCTAAAATGCCCTAGGTGGGAACGTGAAAGATACCGGGTCGCTATCAGGGTATGGGAAATGATAGAGATGGAAAGTATAGTGAAGATAATGTTGGAAACCGAAGGTAAATGGAAAATAATTGCTCACCTGATTGAAAAGATAATAGAAACGCGAGAAAAGGAGGCGAGGTAATAAAAGGGATTAGAGAAAAACCCCTCTGGAAGAATGCCCTAGCGATATCCAGAGGTGGAGTTTTCCAAATTGTTTAGGGAGAAGGGGTTTAGTAGGTGAGAGCTCCACACTACCGCCGCCCAACAGATACAAGGCGGCGGTGTGCGGTAGGAACATTCCCTAATTCCCTCTCATCAAAATAAAAAAAAAAATAAAAAAAAAGATTACCTAGTCTAATTTGGATAGCCGTCGGCTGTCTCAAAATTTCTGCGAAGATATAAAACGCAATGGACAGATTTCGGATACTGAATCGTCAAATACAAAAAAGCCTGCTGCACAATAAAACGTTAAAGCTGACCCGCCAATCAGCACAAAACGAGCACAATTAAGTTGTAGCTACAAATTAAAAATCCCATATCACAGTCAACTTGGACGGTCAAAAAACGATTTTTAGCGCACAAATCGGTATAAAACAAACTCCAATACACAAAACACGAAATTCGTAGAAATTAGAAATTAGCATTGCATACGTTTGCATTAAGAACTCTGTACAAAAAGTTCCTTACCTCCGCTAATATTGGCATACAAAACCTAGGGTTGGTGAACAGATCATCACAAAACGAGCAAACATTAACGTGTTATGAGGTACTTACTTCCTGAATCTGGAGGAACAGTTAACGCGCGCGAAATGTGGGTATTGTATGTTACACAATTGTCGATTTTATTCTGTCAATCAAATTTTGACTGTTGTTCGTTAATAGATGCTGTGTAAGTTGACTAAATTCTCTGCATTGATGGTGTCTATCTAAAAGATACATAGACGCATTGTGCTATGTAATATTTAAAAGAAATTTCTCGGTATTAATACATAATTTTATTGCCCAGCAAGTCTTACTTGTGGTATCCTTTCCATTTGGAATGTTATAGTCACGTTCAGTTACAGTGCATGTTTCGCCCCTAGCGTTTATCACACGAAACTAAAATCAATCTCCAGCTTTTCTCTTTTTTTTGTTAAAAAAAGCCCTAAAACTTTATTTTTGTTACTTTTTGGGATACAGATAGAGATATGCTAACATTATTCCATATACTTTACAATTTTCAACAACTGACTGGGGATACAATATTTGCGTTGTACTCGTACATTTGTAATCGAACAGCATTATGTATCTTAAGGAAGACTGTCATTATCGCGACACTTCAAAAACACTTCCTCCTGTCCATTGACACCAGTTGCTTTAGATGAAACCTGGATCTAAGACCAAAGCTCTTCTTTAGGAGAAGCTCACAAATGATATTCGTTAGAACAAATCCTGATTAAGAGCCATCCTATCTGCAGTCAGAAGGTGTCACTTTTATACTGGGTCAAAGGAAAAGGCATTGCATTTACATCACTTTAGGTAGGTGTCAATATCAATTATCTTTTCGTATAAGTTTGTTGTGATCATAGCCAGATCTTTTATCCACGGAACATAAACTTAGGTATTATTCGTAACAATTTGGACCATTGAACCATTTGTCATAGTGTGCATTTCTTAATAACATAATGGTCATTTTTCTCCATTGTACGTAACAAAATTTGAACGTTTTTCAGAAATCAATTTCTTAATTACTTGTTGTTCTCCTATATTGGCCTGTTTTATGAAAGTTTTTTGGTGCCGTGTGGTATTTCTTTTCAATTATCTTAATTGAAACGATATTCCGTTATAAACTTTTTTCGTATTTGAGGGCGACTGCACCTAGTGTGGTGTAACATAACGTTTGAGATAAGGATTTCCTTAAATTATTATTCACGAAAAAATGATCAAATGCAGTTTTGTATCTCATTTGACAGTAGCAGTACCCATTCCTCTTCTAGGAATTTTTATCTTTTAGAGGTGACGCTACAGTTTCACTGTAATTATGAATAATACGAATGCCGACCTAGAAACCACTAAGGCTTCACAGCGTGCTTGAAACCTCACGTCTACTAATAATGTCGATGTGCGAGTACGTAAAACTTAACCGATGTAAATAGAAATCAAACTATGCGTTCGCGAATACTTTTGCATAACAATTTTGGCACAACAAAGAAGGTTCCTGGGCGAACGTAGTTTTTACTCGATTACACATTTGTAGCTCCAAACCCTTTGAATTGCAAATTATGTAAACGTATCTCATGCAAAAACGTGCGGCGAGATCGATACCGTGCATTTACTTCTACTTTTTTTGGCAATTCATTAAGTCCATTGTTTACGCAATCCGCTTACCCGCGGGGATTTTAATAATACAATTTTAATGATGTGGTGAGAGTTTAGTTAAGCAAATGTTTGCGATAAATTAGTGCACATTACGATATCCAATATTAGTATGGTTAGTCCGAAAATAACATCTTAGCACAACCTTCACCTGGCGTTAGCTGTTGTGGACTTGTCGACTGCAACCTTGATTCTGTCTTTAAAATAAATCCCTTGTTTCCTTTTGAATTGTGCAATGGTCGGTATTGTTCACTTGTAAATTCCCACTCTTTTTTAGCACGATCACTGTTCACCGGAGTGTTCTCGCGCACTAGGTTTTTCGTGTTTTTACTCACTTTGGTGGTATCGCTCGACTGTTTCTCAAGCGAGGGCGATTTCGATTTGCTTTTCCTGAACGGCAGCTGCAGAAAATCGAAGCCTTTGTCTACAGCCGGCTCGATTATCTTTAAGGGCGGCGGTTTCTTCTTCTGGCGCGGTGGTCTTGTGGCAGCTTGGGTTTTCGGTTGACTGGTCGAAGGTTGTGGCCAGGATTGGTTTGATTTGACGCTACTTTGGAGGGTTTCCACTCCACCTCTTCTCAAATGCAAATCCTCCGAATGACTGCTTAGGATCGGCGCGCTAGTAACCGCGTGAAAACTTTTACTTGAACTTGTACTCGTTGATGGAACGCTTGGATTGGGACTATTCTCTTGTGCTGGCTGGGTGTGTGGGGTAGCTGTAGGTAAAGTTTCAGGTTGACTACTGTCTCCTTGTGCTTTAGGAACGTATATAAGACGACCGTATGATAAATAGACTACTTCATCAGCCGGAAATATTACATACATGCTCTTTCACAGTCCCACATTGCGAAAGTGTGCGCAGATCAGTCCCGAGCGCACCACAAATGCTTTTCCACATGTAGATTTGAGTCTTATATCACTCCAACACTAAATATTTATATTCGCTTTTCTGAAACAATACAAATGCATACTTTAACGCAATACAGACAGTCTCGGTGTTAGTAATTCAGAAATTTATTGTGACAGTGGATTTTGTTGTAGGTAATCGCTTAGAATATTCCAGGTTCGTTAGCTTCTATCAAACTGTGCTGTTATACACATACAATCTAATAAAGCTCTCGTATAATAGCCCGAATCCTTAATTTACGGTACGTGTGGGATCCCTTAATCTTAATTGATACCTTATAGACGAACAATTTTACCTCATTTAAAATTGCGACTTTCTCGTGTGATTAATTCAAAGCCGCGTTGTAAATCTAAGAGGGATCTCTGATACCTATTATACTACCTACATAAGGGAATGAGATTACGCGCTGCAAGCGTATTTGATATGATGTGGCACGCTAGATGAATTTAATGCTTGGTAACTCATGCAAATTCTAGATTAGATTGTCTTCTATAACTTCTCTTTCAGCATCGATAATCTAATACATTTGGAAGCGGAAGTATAAACGACTCAATTCCTACGAGCCGTTGTTTACTAGGCAAGGTTGGATCGCAGTTTAACTTTGTTTAATAGAAAAACGCATTATAACGATTAAATAGAGAGTTGTTACACAATCATTATTAAAGTCTCCGAAACTAATTTTAAAAGAGCGTTCAGGAAGCCAATAATGAATTTGAATAGTTTTATTTTTTGGAATTTCGAGAAAAATTTGAAAAATCCGTAGAACTGTCCGAGTCATCCTCGATCCTAATCCAATCCGAATGCAAGTATGCGAAAACCAGTAAAAATTATGAGAACAATGTAAAACAGAGTCGATTGTTGGGTTTCAAAAAAACTTGATGTGCTTGCCATCGTACCCATCCACGGACCTTCCTGTAATTTATCTGCCTTCTAAATTATACAGATATACATACAACATTGAATTATTTTAACAACAAAATGAATGCTGTAATTTCATTCATTTAAGTAATTTATTACATATTTAGGTAAATACACCAACCCTATCTTATCCTAAGTTGTAACGGTAGCACATTCCAGTGGCTTACTAGAAATTGATAGTTGCTCTAGATGAATTTTTGTAACTGTTCACCAGAGGAGATTAAGCTCCAAGCCAAACTTCGAAAGAAAAGTTCATGATAGCAGCCTGCATCTAAATAAAATGAGGTTTTAAAAAATTATGCATTTTATTTTGAGGAATTTGTTACGATAACTAATGAGTTTGTGTGGATTACCTACACATATTGTAGTGGCATTATAGATATGAGCGTATAAGCACCGCCATTAAAAATTAATTTGACTAATAAGAGCATTTTGATAAGTACGTTGGTTCGAACAAACCAGGAAGTTTCGCGACTTTCAGAATAAATGTAGCATCACATAGCTTTCCCAGTGTAACGGTTTATTTCAATATTAGTGCTATAAGTCGATTTAAATTATTAAGGTTATGATTAAGGGATGATTTTTGTTACATGAATGGTTATGTTTGCCATTGGCACGCACTTGTGTATCGACTATGGTTTTTGATTCAAACTTTGAAGGTTATCTTAGGAATTTTGGAGGTCTCGCAAATGCCGATATATTTTCCAGTGCGCCATTAAATTCTCGTTTAGATCTATTTTCTAATGCCCACCGTGTTGAAGTATTTGACTGCTTTTGAGCAACCACACAATAATTGGTTTTGATTTATGGTGGATTCTTGACTTCCGTTTTGGGAATTTATTGAACCACAATATTTTTTGTAACAGTTCTATGTGCTTTTGAAAACTTTGAGAGGTTCCACCCTGTACATACAACTTACGACGATACATACATTTTTTAGAGTTGGCAACCATGCAATTTCTAGGTGGCAGAAAGCTGCCTGCGCAATCTAGAAAGCACGAACGGGGGTTACGTTTGGCATCTTGTCTTGAATAGCGGTCGTGAACGCGTCGCTCCATAAATGTTTGTTGTTATTTTGTGTTTTTAATGCAGGTAGTAATCTTTGCATTTCTTTATATCGTATTTGTGTTTTGTATGCCACATTTTATATTTTTTGTGTATTTGAATCTTTGTTTTTGAAATTTACTTGGTTTAACCGCACTGCAGAATCACATATGTGATACCGTTATGCTGTTGTTTGTAATTGTTTACGCTTTGGTGTAGTGTTTGCTTAATTTATGTTTATTGATGTCGATTACTTGGTCTTGTCCCTGAAGTAGGTAACATTCATATAAGTTTTGATCACATATTTTAATATGTGGAAGTTGCCGATTCGTTTGATGTATGTACTGACTTGTTGTTTGTTACTAACAATTTTCTCCGTGAATGAAGCAGTCGCGGGGGTGGTAAAAACTGTAACCATTTGAAGTACGACACCTAATTCCGTGATTGTCTTCGACTTTCAACTGTAGGCTCAAAACCCCGAAACCAGGGGCGGGTTACCTATCTTGCGAAGAGCGGGATTACGCTAATCAAAGCTCTTCAGTTTAGAATCTATGTGCGATAAATAAGTGGCGATACAATAATTTCCACATATCTTGTTTTTAGTTAAATTTGTCTACAAGGCCATGTAATTTTCCATCTTGCTTTTAACAAAAGCACTTTATTGCACCAAAGATGAGTCACATCCTGTATATTTCACCCTTTCTTAGAATCTTGGTACCTGCTTACCTGACCCATAATTCTCAAAACTTGTTTTTAACCTATATGTTACCTCTTGAAGTTTACCTGCTACTTTTTGTGATGTTATAATTTTATGTTACGCATTCACATCATTACAAACAATTAATTTTACAACGCCATATGTTATTAATTTGACGGCCGGTTTTTTTTGGTAAGTTCTTTTTTTCCCAGCCTATTTCTATTTTGATTTGGTGAACAACCATTTTCAAAGTATATTTTTGCAATGTAATTTGTTTAGATTTAAATTTTCGAGCTTTCACAATCTTAATAATTGCGATCATTATTAAACAAACTTTTCACAATTTCTGTGTTTTATTTTGTGTTCCTTCCCTACTGTTCTTCAGGTCATAGCGTTGTTTATAACTAACGTAAGGGGGCCCTGTCTTAGATGTTTGATCACGTGTCACTTTTCAAATTTAAGCGGGATCTTGTTTAGTTTTGGAGGGAACCATTTTTAAACGTTGCCGGGTTGATTTGATTTCCGTGTTCTTGTAGTGTGAAGTTAGTGTAGAACCTGGGGGTTAAGTACACTTCAACTTGGTGTTGGTAAAATAATAACATCCAGGTATACAAATGTTATCGACCAAACTTTGAAACGTGGCAGGGCCATTGTGTAGTCTTAAAGCCGTCTTGATTTATTTAAATAATCCCTTCCCTAGAACGGCAACGGCTGTATATTTTCCCTGGATATCCGTAGAAGCAATGTACCTAGCACCACTGTAACGAAGTACCCGTTTTCCGCCTGGAAATTACCAGTTTTAGTGATCACTCTGTAGATGATCACCCGGTATTAGGCAGCGTCTTAAGTTGGGCGTTTCGTTACGAAGATTATTGCTCCGAAAGTTTTCAGGAGTTGATTTAATTTCTAGAGATGTTTCATCCGCCGCATCCCAAAAAACACAGTTTGCAACGGTTCTCGTAAGAATATTTAAATTGTTTTTACAGCCGCCGAAAGCTTTCTTTCCAGGGAAGAACAGAGAGAATCAATGTTAGGTCTGTTAATTACCCATTCATCGGTTTTAATTTTCTGAAGGCATCCAAAATCCAGCATTAAAACCGGCAAGGTCGTGCAGTATACGGAAATATCATCGTGATAGGAGACCCCGCGTTTGGATGAGTATAATTAACCGTACTTTGTTGAATGGGTTACAATAACAGCCTCCGATTAAGTCGAGATTACATCCGTTAGGTGCGCCCTTAAAAAATTTGAATTTTGACACCGGTCCTGTATTTTTAAGACGTCTACTGGGAAGGACGTAATTAATTAAAAACGGTTTTAATTTTCGATTGTTATCGGTCAAACTTGGCGTGTCAATGGCAGGCCCGATATAACAATGGTTTTTATTGATTTGGAAATTATTCAATGGGTTCCGGAGTAGGGTGGGCCGAAAAATCAAATTTTAAGATTTCGCTTGGAGATAGTTCGCAAAAGTAGCCTTTTATTATTACAATGAAAATGTTTATTAACTATTTTTTGATTGTCATTCATCTGTTGCCCCCTACCGAAACTTAAAATTTTCAAAAAAAAAGTAAAATCCAATTTGGAATTTCGGTTTGAAATAGAGCGCAATAGATGCCATGTGTTATAGTAACAAAAATGTTTATTTGTTGTTTTTTTATTACATTGAGTGTTCTGCCCCCTACCGATGCTCAAGTTATAAAAAAAATGGAGAATCAAATTTTTCATTCTGTTTATTATTTTATTTTATTATCTTACACTACACTTTTACATTAAACTAACAAACAAAGGAAGAAATCGAGCCCGTAATAAAATGTAAAACGGATAAACTTGTTGTAAGAAGTCTTTTTTGCTCTCAAATTGGGGCATTAGTCTACGAGATTCTAACCTTGCTTTTATAAACCCATCTCTACTTTGGAAACCAACAACTGATAAGGAAGCGTCCGTTACTAATTTTATCCATCTTTCCACTGCTTGAGAATGACAGGGATAGGATTTAAGATCAATATTAACGAAAGTATTCGGGGTTTCTGTTAAAATATTTTGCAAGTCACCCACTTCTAAATTTTGAAGTAGTGGCGGTGGAGTGATTTCATTATTGTCTCAAAATTTAGTTTCGGTAGTATTAAAGGACGAATTTTTCTTGAATTTTCCCTTCTCTTAGCGTTTAAAATCCGTCGAATGGCAAGTTCTTTGATATGGGGACGAGGGTCACTTAGCATACATACTAACAAATTCTCTGGGTGTGCAAAATATGCATTGCGTTGGATAACTGGATCAATCATTCTTTTTAAATCGTCTCTTAAATATCGACTTAGGTTAATGGTTTGCCAAACATGCTTTGCCCCATTTGAACATGATGTATTCAATTTAATTAAAAACC